CAAATACTAAAAAAATAAACTTTATCAAAAAAGAAAACAAAATCTATTATTACATATATTATTTATTAATTTATTTCGAGCATTTTTAAGCATTTTTCGATTGTTTTTTCACAGAAAAAGGTTCAGTTGTAAAAACATTTCATTAAATATAAAATAAGATGAAGTTTTATGTGATACAAAATCTGATATTTTTTAAATATGCTGTTTAGTTTTGTTTAAAGAAGATACTTACCAACAAAAACGACTTCTACTACTGCAATGTACTTCCTCCGCCTCATCGCCAATATCACCATCATAATTATCATCGTCATCATCTCTACCACCACACTTCTACCACCACCACCACCACCACAACTATTATCATTATCATCATTATTATCATTATCATCAAGTATTTTAATGATTACCACCACCACCACCAACAACAACAACAACCAACAACAAATGTGCCTCCTCCATATCTTCATATTCTTCATCATCAGCCTCAGTATTACCCCCACCAACTCCACCAACAGCAACCAACAGCACATTAGTCCCCTTATCATCATCATCAGCAGCAGCAGCAGCAGCAGCAGCAACAGCAGCAGCAGCAGCAGCAGCAGCAGCAGCAGCAGAAGCATCTGTATCATCATCATCATCACTTACAGCATCATCTTCACCATCATCACCATCATCATCTTCATCACTTAAAGCATTGTCACCAATATCATCAGCAGCAGCAAAACAGTCGTTGTTAAAAGTATTTATCGTGATAGAAATTTCTCGGTCTATATGCAAACAATTATATTTAGCACGTTTGATCTTGACAAGTTTTGGAGTGATTACCCAGAAAGATACCATAATGGTTTACCGATATTATTTTTTGCATATATGCACGCATTATGTTAACAGATATAAATCTAACAGTCTCATGTTACTAGAACAAATTTTGGTGTTTTGTTGCCTGGCGATTTCTTTGGTGTATACATTTTATGTTGAATCGAATTAAGGTAGTACACCCCTAATGCACTATCTCCACTTTGAAGAGTACTCAAATAGGCTTGAATCACTGTAAAGTGTATTGAAACTGAGGGGCGTGGGTTCAAACCCCAGAAGGGGCAACTTTTTTTTCTTTCTTTTTTTTTCTTTTTAACATTTTTTATTAATCTCTCAGATCCCTTATGTAAGAAAAAAGTGTTTTATTTTAATTATTTGATTTTTTTAGGTATTTATTTACTAAATAATGCCAAATTTAATAGCAAATATGATACCAGATATTTTCAAAATTTAATAAAATTAAAACTACACGGTAAAAGTATTTTATATTTTGGAAGACCAACCAAAATACATTGAAAAAAATTTAGGCAAACTTTGAAAACAGCCCCTCATTGTGAAAAATTTTAGGGATATTTTAAATAAGGTTTTTTACACAGGGAAATGGTAAAATAAGTGTTAAAAGTGGGTGGGGTAGAGTTACATTTTTAAACATATTTAAAACATTTCGTTAAAAAACAATCATTTGGCTTGTTTAATTTGTTACCTAAATGTCATTATTTGTTTCTTAACAATGAGCAATAAGAAAACATTTTTCATAATGATGATATTATAGATTATTTAGAGTTTCCTCATATCTGAAAAAAGCCCTACTAGTAGCAAAGTTTTAGTTCAGAAAAATGTCTATAACTCATAAACCACACGGTAAATTTTGTTTAAATTTTGCATACAGGTGACATTTAAGGCATATAACTGCCCTGTGTTGTCAATTTTACAGTTCCTTATAGTGCCCATTAGGGGTGTTCTACCTTAAAAGAATTTTTAGTACAAAGGAATGATACCGGAAGTTGATTCGAGGAATATCTAGTTATCAGCAAGGTACAACCTGAAATAGTATTTTAATTAATTGTATTTTAATATTTATCCATTCCTACATTTTCTTTTTTTTTTTAAATTGTGACCGAAATTCTGTGTATAATTATTATTATTAATAAATAAACAAATGGTTACATTATGTTCGTCCGTTTGCTCCTTCGAGCGCTACCTTGAGGTAACGGTATACACGTTATAAGTTCGTAAACGTTTTACATGTTTCGATATTGTATTGCACGTATTGTATAAAAAAAAAGAAAAAAAAGAAAACGTATTTATGACCAGGAGCAACAAAAATGTGTTTGGTGGATATCTTTAAATCATGGCATGTAATACTCATTCTTCAAAGCATTCTGGTTAGCAAGTTGTGTTTAAATTTGAATAAGACAGAAAAGGACTCTGTTTATTAAACAGGGACCGAAATGAAAGATCTAAGACACCAAAAATGCATGTATACTAGAATCAGTCACATGATCTCTAATTGAAAATTAATTTTCTATCTATTACATAAAATGTGTTAACAGATTCTTTTAACATTTCGTCGGTGCGTGCAATGTGAGAACTAGTGCCTGATTTGAGTGAACTGCCTTTTGCTATATAAGCTTGCGTTTAGCAGCCATATTATCAATGATCTAAATAATACTAGAATATCTGTAATTTATATGCATGCATGGGCCATGTGCCATCATTTGTTTTCAAAATGGCCACTTTTTGTAAGTGCTTCCTTTCTGGTGAATAAATTAATAGCTAAACATGAAGAATTGAACATTGAATATCTGGAAAAAGTGATCCCTCCGAAACAAAGCAAAATTACATGACTCGGTTTGATTGAAGATGATTTATACTTGTGAATTTGAAGGCTCATCACTAATTAAATATCAAATGATGTTGAAAAATCATTTCCTTTAAAATAAACAAACAAAAAATAAATTTAAACAAAATTTCCATTTGAACAACATTGTACGCTTTTCAATTAATATTGAGTAGAGATTTGCTTAATTTTACCATACTATCTCCACACAGTTTATAAACGATTTGAACCCCAACCGGATCTTGTGAGAAGATCTCAGCATCTAAACGTACAATCAGGCGGGATGACACATTAAACTATTAAAGATCCGCTTGAATTTAATATGTTACGGTATGTTAACATTTAAATCATATTAAAAAATACTTTATCTTTCCTAATATATACATCCATAACCTTCTTCGTAAAATATATGCGCATAAAACGCTGTGCTCTTCGCCTCATGTTTTGTTTATGTCAACACACGCCGATTACACAAGCAAATTTATGCCTAAAATTGTTTTACTTCACTATAACTCATATCTGAATCTTAACTTTATTGTCTTAACCTCATGTTACCGGACAAACACTTGTGAAAATATCTTTAAATATTGATAAAACATAGTAAATAATAGAGGCGACATTTCTGATAACTGTACCCGTCTTGCTAAAACAATTTTAATGATCTGTACCCTACTTGTGTTTTCAATGAACCATTACTTGCGAGTCATTTTTGATGATTCTTATTGTGTTTTTGTCGTATATTCCATATTTTATTGTACAGAATATGAAGTTATTGTGTCACAATAGCATGGTACATGATTTAGTTCTATGTTACTTGTAAGTAACTAAAACTGCATATGAATGGAGCTTCGTCATGTTTTCACTGTCTACGAAAATACCAGCATGAAGTGGCTGGTTATACGAATCAGAGAGCCAATTATTTCTTGATAAGAATAATTAACTAACAAACCTCATCTTCACTTACCATTCATTTTTCTTTGGAAAGATATAAAGCTAAAATATTACATATGTACTATAAATTTCTTATATTTAGTTCAACGGCATTGTTGTTAGTTTTGACGTGACCGTTCTATAACGTCACGTATCAATAAACTCGAAATATCATTACAAGATTTTTTGCAGATAACTTATTTCAACATGTTGAAAGCTTTACACCTACGGTTGATTTCATTCTGCTTTTTAAAACACGGTTTTATATTCTCAGAAATTCATTGACTTTCTATTTCTGACATGTACGATTTTTATGCTTGTATATCATATCTTTCACAGGCGTCGACAATTTTGGCATCTTTTTAAACGGAGAATATTCGGGAATTTTTGAAATTTTAATTGTCAGTGTTTCAGTTTTTGGTGTTATAAACTTTTTTTCGTTAATATTATTGGCTGTGACGCTTAAATTTTTAAGTAGGAAATTTTATTTCTGATCATTATTTATTGTTATTTTCAAGTTGCAAGCTGGATGGCGAATATGTGTTCAATGATGTGAAATTCGCAGTCTTTACTGAACAGTATATGCAGTTGTATTCTTCCATGATGATCTGAAAGAAAAATATACATAACATTATATATTTTATTACACAAATGATTAACAATAGTATCAGTTAAACCAATTCTCGGTAAATACCTTAGATCCCACCTTATATACTAAAATTCTATTACAATCATTTATATTTTCTCGCAATAATTGATACAAAATCGCAATAAACGTTAACGTTTTCTCCAATAAATCTTTAAAAATACTCACAAGTCAGGGAACAGATAAAATTCGTAAAATCACAAGTAGGGTTCACAATCACCAGCAAGTAACGTTCAGTTTACGGAAATGACCTCCTTGGTAAAACTCTTAAATTTATGTTCAAGATACAGCAATATGTTATGCATATGAATAAATTATCGTTTGTTATTGATTACTTTAGTAATTTGATATCACAATTCAATGTTTAACTAAATCAACCTTTGAATAAGACGGATTTTTGTTCGAGTTCAGTGTTGATCTCCTGAAAGCTGTCCGTGAGTTTCGATTATTTTATAGCCTTCGTGCTAACGTTTATGTTTTGCATAACTTAGACGTTTAATAAAGTTTCTCTCTTACAATATAATTATAGATTTACTAACCTAACGTTCATCAGTATCAATATAAATACCAATATCGTAAACAAGTGAAGAGGCAGATTATGGCTGACACTAAAATCTTCTCACAAGATCCGGTTGGGGTTCAAATCGTTTATATACTGTGATCTCCGCACTTGAATGTACATAGCGTAGATATTTAGTGACGTCATCATAATCGTCACGTTCATGAATACAAAATGGCGACTTATACAGACATCAAAATGTATTTCAGGTGGTTTTGTAGCAATTTGGGTGAAAGATGGCGAATGATACGAATATAACGATTTATCATCACTACCATACCATGGAACACGATTCGGCAATTATCATGTTTATTTTTGGCAGCTGTGCCGTTGGCGGTGAGTAAATAGTTTTCCTTTTTTTCGGCAAAAACTTGAACTTGAAGTTAGCACTGACTTACAGACCTTTGGCTTTTTCCAACTTGCCCCCGACCCTGTCAACTCTAAGTCCATAACGGTAACCTTCAATATTTTAACCAAATAGGATATCCCTTTTAATTATAGTACAAGCCTCTATTTATAACATGGAAAATGAAATTCAGAAACTGAACAGAATGAAGACTTTGACTGTACTGTATTAATTTGTGATAATATTATTGAATATATTTGTGTTGATATTGTGATGATAAAATCATGATTAATATTGTATTCTGACATTTGCATAATTGTAATCGTTCATCTGCACAGCAACAACAACCACACATTTGCGTTTATCTATTATAAAATAATATATAGAACATAATGATAGCGGACTGAAACAGATCTCAGTACAGTACGTCTTCTCCGTACATACGTAGCTATGTAAAAACGCATTTTGCTATCCAATGTCTATTTACTGTTAGTATTAAAATTAATTTAAAAGTATCATTATTACTATGCAAGGGTATATAGTGAGTGGACAGATGAAAGTCTTTAGATGATTACATTGAGCCATACCCTGGTTAAATATCTCGTATATCCCTCGCTATTTCGATGCTATGTAAAAATCCTGCTAATCTCCCCCATTATCTCTCCGGTGGTAAGGGCTGGGTCAGGGTCACTATTACTCACTAATACCTGATGACATATGCAGTTTCACTTGTGATTCCATGTATAACACAAGGCTTTTCTCGTATGACTGCACATTCTTTTTCCCGTAGAAACCTCTAAATAAACTTTTACCTTAATATGTCTAATTCAAATCTTATATCCACCAGTAACAGATTTTTTTGTAATAATCAATTTATTTTTCATCCCGATTAAATCTTTAATGTTTAATTCTTTATTTACATGCGTTTGAAGTTCTGACCCCGCGTCAAATTATCTATGATAGTTCTCACTTCTGAAATAATTAATTTTAAATTAAAAAAAAAACAACAAGACAACAACAGAACACTGCAACAGTATGCATTAACAATGCTGGAATGATACTTTTCTTTATCTTTCCATTGTTCTATTAAAAAGAGTTTACTGTCAAACATCTATCATATATGTCTATAAAGATAGTAAACGTATATACTATAGTGAATTTATTACATTAATGTTGGATCAACTCAAATTTTAAATGTTATGAAATTTCAGTACACATTTTAGACTTTTTCAGTATAAAGGGACTTCTCAGAATCTTCTCGTACATTCCTTTTGGATGGGGTCCCGGGAAATAACGTCATAATTTCTGATCATTGTTTTTGTAAAGTGAAGAAAAAAAGCAAACAGAAAAAGAAAAGCAACAGACGTAAATTTGATCTTCAATAATCAGAAAACAGAAAGTACTTATGTTTCAGTTTAAATACTGAAGAACAATATTTTAAGACTTTTATAGAAACGTAAAAACTGCTAAAAGTAGGGGAAAACCCTACATCGAAAACCTCTATTTTTTGCAGAGAAGTCATATAAACATGACCCCAAAATATATAGTGCATTTATTACAATTTAAATTAATCAAAATTATATAAGATTTTACATTGAATCCTTTGATTTATATATACATTAAATATACAAAGTCAGTCAAAAAAGTATAAACACATATATAATATAAGGACGCGTGACCCTTGTAGAAAACAACAACAACATAATGTTAAGTAGGCTACATTGTATTACTATAAAGGATTTATGTTTGAAACATTTTTATATAGAAGTATTGTTATGACCACTTATATTTATAATTTGTAATGACAGGCACACTTTGTCAGTTTCAAATCCGTGTGGACCTTGTCTTATATTTTGACATTATGGTAAGTGGTGTCCATTACGCATTTTTAGCGGTAGATATATTATATGATCCGTGTATATATTACCATTATCTTACCTGTTATCTGCGTCCGCTATTTATGTACCTTTCAAAATAATAATAATAATAAATGATATAATTTTCCGATTTTCCTTGTTTTTTATTTTCATTTTACCCTCAAACGTATAATACTACACATTATTAACAATATACTTATTTAAAAAAAAAAGAACTTAAAGACAATTGCAAATATCGTTTATTATTTTTCACAATCTAGTTTTTATTTATTAATGAAAATATTCAAGTTAAATCGGTCAGTGTGCTTTGAAATAGTGATTCAATTTAAATAACTTCTACAGGTATTTCACAATCATTGGCTCGTATAAACTAGCGTAATATTGCTCTTGATAATATCGGCGTTTATTGATCTTAAAGATTATTCCGGAAGTGACTTCAGCGCTAGCTAACGTCATAATGGACGTACAATATATAAAATTAATAGATTTTATAGAAGACAGTGGTTCTCCTTTAAAAAGACACAAAAACTGACTAATGAAGGAGGGGTGCATATATAAAACGCATGAGTTCAGAGAAAATGTCTGATATAAAACTTAAAAGTTTAACATTAAGACAAACCTATTTCCTGATGTCATTAAATGTTTAATTGATTATCATCGTCAAGATAATTAACAGTATAGTAAATCTCAAAAAAAGATAGATGACTAAATAACATTGTAAGATTGACAATGTGTTGCTTGATGGGTTAAAGCGGCATGCTCCCGCATTCGTGTGCGTGTTGCTGTTTTTTATGAAAACTTAAACGTTATTCCAAAGAGTAAAAAATATTGTCAATTGTGATTTAACTTGGCCAAATGGCAATAGAGGTTTTATATAAGTTATCAAAATAAAATATTCATATATTTCTCTTACTGCGTAAGTAACGAGAGAAAGTTTGAGTGAAAAAAGTACATGTAGCAATTAACTAGCAAATTCTGTCATAATTTCCATAATACGATCAAAGTAACACCTTATTGCCAATATGAAGTGATTTCTGTATAGCTAATTAGCTATGAACATTTTTTGAAGTTTTTTTTTGAGATTTATTTTACTAATCACAAGTCGCGCCGGTTTTTTTTTGTACATTGTAACGTAAATATTTGAAATTCAAGGCGTAATTGATTACAGTCCAGATGTAGGAAGTTTTTTTTTCCCAGTTTTTTGCTCACAGTATTCTTTTAAGGCATCTATAGGTGTACATTTTTTCCGTCAACATTTAACTTTTTTTCTTTGAGAACTTATCACGTAGTCACGAAAACATATATTCAACGCAAAATTGTTTATTTTGTCCCTTTTTTATTTATTAAATATTACTTTTTTCGCGGATTTTCCATTCATGTGAACTTACGAAATCGTATATTTCACCGTTTAATACATATATATATACGCAGGCCAGTTTACAAAGTACGAACTATTTTGTTTATTTTCCACCTATAATTTGTATATTGTGTATTTTTGTTTATTACTGAAATGAATGAATACTTATACTATTAGATGGCGGAATGCACATAGTTGAAACAAATCTATTTTTACTAAAAAAGGTATTGCGCAAGATGGTAAATTGGATTTTAATAGACTCTTGATTTGTGTAGTGTAATCAGTTGTTTAAACTGGGTCATATAACCTATCAAAATCTTGATAAATAATAATATTTGTATATATGAATATGTAATTTGTCCTGTATAATTGAGAAACGGTTCCAAGTATATTAAGTACTTAATTCTTCATATTATTGGCGTACATTTAATATGTGTAATTATATATAATTCGAAATGAAATCTACATTAAAAAAATGTCGGTTCGACGTATGGCATTTGTGAGTTATGGAAACCTAAACATTTTAGAGTCAATCGTCAGACATTGATTTGTAAACATAAGTTATAATATTTTAGAAAACAAATTAAATGTCCTCCTTGCAAAAGTGTTCATCTTGAAAATGTAGTTTAAAAAAGATCAACAAGCTGGAAAAAAGATATTTCTATACTTACTCCTCTCGATATTTCTATACTTAGTCCACTCGATATTTCTATTCTAACTCCACTCGATATTTCTATACTTACTCTACTCGATATTTCTATACCTACTCCTCGCGATATTTCTTTACTTACTCCACTCGATATTTCTATACTTTCTCCTCTCGATATATCTATACTTACTCCACTCGATATTTCTATACTAACTCCACTCAATATTTCTATACTAACTCCAGTCGATATTTCTATACTAACTCCACTCGATATTTATATACTTTCTCCTCTCGATATTTCCATACTTACTCCACTCGATATTTCTTTACCTACTCCTCGCGATATTTCTTTACTTACTCCACTCGATATTTCTTATCTTACTTCTCTCGACATTACTTTACTTACTCCTCTCCATATTTCAATACTTACACCACTCGATATTTCTATACTTACTCCACTCGATATTTCTATACTAACTCCACTCGATATTTCTATACAAACTCAACTCGATATTTGTATACTTTCTCCTCTCGATATTTCTTTAGTTACTCCTCTCGATATTTCTATACTTACTCCTCTCGATATTTCTATACTTACTCCTCTCGATATTTCTATACTTTCTCCTTTCGATATTTCTTTACTTACTCCACTCGATATTTTTATACTTACTCCTCTCGATATTTCTATACTTAGTCCACTCGATATTTCTGTACAAACTCAACTCGATATTTCTATACAAACTCAACTCGATATTTCTATACTTACTCCTCTCGATATTTCTTTATTTACTCCTCTCGATATTTCTATACTTACTCCACTCGATATTTCTTTTCTTACTCCTCTCGATATTTCTATACTTACTCCACTTGGTGTTTCTGTACTTACTCCTCTCGATATTTCTATACTTACTCCACTTGGTATTTCTGTACTTAGTCCTCTCGATATTTCTTTACTTACTCCTCTCGATATTTCTATGCTTACTCCTCTTGATATTTCTATACTTACTCCACTTGATATTTCTGTACTTACGCCTCTCGATATTTCTTTACTTACTCCTCTCGATATTTCTATGCTTACTCCTCTCGATATTTCTTTACTTATGTAACGTTTTTAAGGCACACAAACCCTGTCGGTGAAAAGCTAGCTCACCACCGAGAGTGGTTTGTGTCCTTATATACGGGAACTATTCCCTTATGTTAATTCAACAACTTAAGTATTTGCATATTATCATGCTCATTATGACGTTCTACCAACGTCGTTACATTACTTTCCCCTCCGAGAAGTCTCGTCCCGAGACTTGGCCTTGGAAATCTGTGGGTAGGGCAACTCCAGTCTGGCAGTTGTCTACATTCCCCCACACTGGCCACCAAATGTAACGTTTTTAAGGCACACAAACCCTGTCGGTGAAAAGCTAGCTCACCACCGAGAGTGGTTTGTGTCCTTATATACGGGAACTATTCCCTTATGTTAATTCAACAACTTAAGTATTTGCATATTATCATGCTCATTATGACGTTCTACCAACGTCGTTACACTTACTCCTCTCGATATTTCTATGCTTACTCCTCTTGATATTTCTATACTTACTCCACTTGATATTTCTGTACTTACTCCTCTCGATATTTCTTTACTTACTCCTCTCGATATTTCTATACTTACTCCACTTGGTATTTCTGTACTTACTCCTCTCGATATTTCTTTACTTACTCCTCTCGATATTTCTATGCTTACTCCTCTTGATATTTCTATACTTACTCCTCTCGATATTTCTATACTTACTCCTCTCCATATTTCTATACTTACTCCACTCGATATTTCTATACTTACTCCACTCGATATTACTATACTAACTCCACTCGATATTTCTATACTAACTTCACTCGATATTTCTATACTTACTCCTCTCGATATTTCTATACTTACTCCTCTCGATATTTCTTTACTTACTCCTCTCGATATTTCTATACAACCGCCGATATTTCGATTCTTTCTACTCTCGGAACATTTCTTTTGAGGTACTAACTCTTTTCTAACAATATGTAAAAATATCGTTACAATAATTATTTACATTGCTTAACTTTTTTATGGGAATAGTTTGAGTTGATTTTAATTCACAGTTACAAATTTGTATCATGTAATATTATTTCAGATTAATCTTGTACTTTTATTTCATATCGTGAAATGCAATGGAAAGGACAAATGTTGTTCTAAGCTGGTTTTATTAATGTAGTTTGAACAGACTTAGACCGAGTGCAAAAACATAACATCCATTTTATCAAAATTAAAGCATAGTTTGTTTATGTTTCAGCTTTGACTCGGCGTGTGATACAGGGATTGAACCTCCGCTTACCTTACACAGTGGTTCTTCTTGTTCTCGGCGTGCTGTTTGGGCTTCTGTCATCTCGCTATCCGAGCGTACACGTGTATGCACGTGTTGTGGAGACGGACCCACATCTAATACTGAGTATTTTTCTACCAGTGTTGATATTCGAGTCAGCGTTTGCTATGGAAGTGCACACGTTTATCAAGGCATTCGTGCAAGTTGTGCTCCTTGCCATACCTGGATTATGTAAGTAGAAATTAAAAAGTTGTCTTGTTTACAGTAGAATTGGTGGGACTAGCCGTTCAATTCAGAGGGGTGGGGGATAAATTGGCCGTATTGCCCAGGTTGTCTTACAGCCTGTACGGACAAGTGAATTTTTTTAAAGCAGTAAGTGTTTAGATATTATATCAAATATAACATTGAGATCGTTACCTTGTTTCTACGGTTTTTGTAGAGGGTTTAATAAGTAAAAACCGAACTTAGCGAAAAAGGACATTAAGTCATTAAGACCGAAATAAAAGGTCCATTAAGTTATAAACTTTGGGAGACAGAATCAAAATTTCCTATCTCTAATATAATAAATCATACATATTTATATAAATTATACATTTAAAGTATTAATTTTAACATTTTTGTCTTGCTATTAATCTAAACTATCACGCAATGGTATCTTGATTTCGTGTACATTTGATCGCGATTTATAGTAAATAATGTAAAAATGCTGACTCGACAAAAACCAATTAATGTCTTTAATTTAGAAGAGAGCATAATTAATTATTGCTGGTTATAGATTTAAATACAGTCAAACCCGTTGTTTCTGTATCTTGTTGTGGCCACCGTTTAACACCAAACCTGTAGGCTCGTTAACTTACTAGGGCCAAGACCAAGCTTTCTTAGAGTGACGAGAATTATTTTTGAATTTAAAACGAGGTAATAAAATCGTGACGCTATTTTTTTCGCGAAAAAAAAATGAATTAGCAACAGGGTATAATTATATAGTGATGGGATTTCTTCGTGTGTTTATTTTGTGTATGAAACAATGCATGGAGGGCACCAGAGCTCCTCCTACAATAGTTAAGCTGGAAATTCACCATATGACCGTTATAGTGATGTGACGTAAACACCCGTTCACCACCCCCACCCCAACCCCTAAAAAAACAGAAAAATACCCCATTTTTCGCAGTTTCGAGTCTCTAACTCAGGATTGACTATAAGTGCTTCCAATTATATTTTACTTATGTAAATGAATAAAGATATAATAAGATTAATGTTGGTTGTTATATTCAATCGTCTGCATTAACATAGAAACTCTCATATACTTAATTCTGTCAATTTTTAAAGTCCATTTAGTCCTTTAATTAAAGCCCATAAAATCCAGGAACATTTTACAATATCAATTTGCATTTATTGTTCAGAGGCGTCATATCGCCCACTTTATGTTTAATGTTTATTGTATTAATTGATTCTTGTAAATTAAATGCTAACGCTGGGATTCCCTTTGTGTTTTTGATACGCAATTTTATCAGTAACAGGCAGTTAAAATGTAGCGCCCGAGAGACGTATCTAAGTAATATGTCTATGAATAGAGTGACAACTAATACCAAAATGTCATATAATGTATATTTGATATCAATAATCTCTTTTATTTAGAGTGCTACAAAGCTTTAATGCTTTAATGTCCAGATTTAATACTAAAATCGTTCTCGTAAACGAAATAGAAAGAGCGTGCAACGAGCAATTTGGTGTCTGAGTTCGAACCGTTATTGTCCTTGAGCATTTGTTTCTTTTCTTGCAGATATTTATACACATTGAATCAATAACTCATCTTTAATTCTTTTTCATCTAGGGGCTCTGCCTATTTCCACTTTGATATTTGTTTCAATGACAGGTCGATACATATCAGTTGTTCACAAAACGGCGATATTTTTTCCTAGTTTAGCATAATAGGTAGAATGGGATATTATTGTTTGAATGTTCTGTACCTAGAACATATTACAATTGTGATTCATCCACTGTCCTCCTGAAACAGAACTTGATCAAAAATGATATTTGTAATATAATTTTACTTTAAGCTGTGTCTAGCAATAATGCCATGCGTATATCCACCGTGTATATCCAGTAACGCCAGAATGTGAAAATAACGCATGATTCGTGCAATAAGTAACGCAAAATTGTGCAATAAATTGCGGATACCTGACAGGATTTCCAACGCGGTAAGAAAACTGGCCAATATATTTTTATTTCATTTATTTAGTACTGGATATACACGGTGATATCTGTCGTGAACAATGGAAGTAAATATTATGTTAGTACAAACAGACTAACAGTATGGTGAACGATGATCAACTGATACCTCTGGATATATGTATACATAATTTATATAAAAACAACAACAACAACAACAATAACAGTATACGCACATTTATTCACAGTCGCTATGGACGATTCGCAGCAGTAGAGTAAAAGCACTTCTGCACGGTACTTTATCGGGGGATCGAACACGCGCCCGTGACGTATGTAAAGTTAAATAGTGTAACGTTAAAACCGGCGATCATCGCGCCCACTCTAACGCAGTTGAATTCTAACATATAACGTTATTTTCCATATGAAGAAATTCGCACTTTAATTTCATTGAAAATGTGTTTTTTATTATTTTTCTTTAAATATCAAGTTCATCTATTAGAACAAATGTCTTTTCTTCGCGTTGAATATATTTCATCAAACATGCCTTTGATGTAAACATACAATTTTAGGTACATACTTTTCCATTCAAATTATGTAAAAAGATACAAATTTTTTAAAACCCATCTATAGATATTTCAAAGACTGCATATTAATAATCGACTTAATTAATATACATATATTAATATTTATATAATTCACATGAAATGATTAAAGCATAGCAAGCAGAATAAGACTTTTGTACGGATATATTATATAAAGTAATACATTTCTCACCCATTCAAATTTAGGTAACTACACTGGAATTGCACTAGAATTTTTAATAAAGTATTCGTTAAGGTGAATTTATTTGCACTGCCTTGTCGATTTATGTTTATGGTATTTGAAATTTGTTTAATTAAGTGTTTCAAGTTGCACACATATAATGTGGTGTGATGAAGTGCAGTACGGTGCGATCAGACATGAAACTATCGCGAGATACAATAAAACACAGCGCAACAAAACACAACACAACACAACACAAAACAACACAACACGAGCTCTGTAACTTTGTAACATCCTGAACCTGGTGCTCCCTTGTAGTATCTCAACTTTATCCATTCTTTATCCATAGCATGTTCTAGAAAGATCTTTGAATTTATTCTTAAACATTATTTTTCAGCATTAGCATCATTCCTGACGGCAATCTTGGCTAAGTACATGTTTACATACAACTGGGATTGGTACCAGGCTATGATGTTTGGTTCGATCCTCAGTGCCACGGATCCGGTTGCGGTCGTGGCTCTACTCAGAGATTTAGGGGCTTCCAAACAGTTGGCGATGGTTATTGAAGGAGAAGCGCTTTTAAATGACGGTGCTGCCATTGTATTCTTCAACGTTTTCCTCAGACTGGTCACCAGCGAACAGGGAACCACGGGTAATTTCTTGATAATACCTCCGCTGATTACCAGCAACCATATCTTTATCCCAAACTTGACCGAAAAGTTGTGAATGAATGTTATGATGTACTATATTAATATCTACTAATATTCCATGTTTGCTCATTTTAGAAAGAATGTTTTTATGTGAACACATGCACATGTGTATATAACATTGAGGAAGCAATTAAAGGGAGGAAACTCTGAGATTCGAATTCAGCATTTAAAGAGTTTCCCCGCTTTTATATAATTTTCGAAAAACACTAAAATGTACTAAAGATGTACTTAAAACATGAAAAATCTCAACTCAACTCAATTGACACTGCCCTATGACTGTAATTTTGTTGTTTCTGGGCCAGTTTGATTGAAATTATTATGGATCATTTTCAATGTCCCCCATTAAAACAACAAAACAACAACAGATAAACCATATTGTAAATAAGTTCAATTGTATAAATTGCATTTCTTAGTTAGTGTAAGGGAGGCAACTTTGTTTTGTAAATCTACATATGACAGTTGGAGTAATATACCTTTTATCTGAATATGCAAATTTACTAATTGTTATAATGATAACTTTAATGAATCAACTTTTTTTCTCCTTTACAGGAAGTGACATAGTTGTATATTTTATACAAGTGGCAATAGGCGGTCCATTTGTGGGTTTTATAATGGCGAAAATCACATTATTTTGTTTGTCGAAAATTTTCAACGACGCCATAGCTGAGATCACCATTACTCTGGCATCTACCTACATCACTTACTATGTTGGTGAGTACATACATTTTTATCTAATCCGAATACAATAAAAAGATTTTTGGTTCCTGTTGAGTCTCGAGTCCATACTCACCTTATGAACAACAGACGTTAGACGTTTATAATTTGCCTCTGCATTTTTAAAATCTGGTCTTAACAAACATTTATATAATTTAATAGAAAGAATTTTTTTCCTATCCACCATTTCTTTGGGTCGAAGGTCTGAAACAGAATGTATGTTGCGGATTGTTGCCTAATATGAACCTTGACAGTAAAAATCACTTGCGCAGGAGACCTCGCACAGAGTCCGAGCAGACTTGCCGCCAAGTTCTATACTGTCGTCTGTTTAATTTTAACATTTAGATTTTGAATACCCTTACACGCATCATTCTAAATTGAAAGGAGGATGACTCTTTGAAACACAATTAGCGAGGTCAGCGTTAATAACTTTGTCAGGGCATTAGAAACGTAATAAATGAATAAATGAATAAATAAATAAATAAATAAATAAATACATAAATAAATAATAATAATGATAAATTAAATAAATGAATAATAACAAATTAAATGTCTATTCAACTTGTGAGTATTTCGTTGAAATTCTATAGCCTTCTTGAATGAAAATACATAAAGGTATAGTGGTTTACTACTAATATGCAAAAATGGTGTAAAAATTCAGATCTTGGAATGAATGAATGAATGAATGAATGAATGAATGAATGAATGAACGAACGAACGAACAAACGAACGAGCAAACGAACGAACGAACGAATGAATGAATGTCAGTTCTCTATGTCATGGTCTTGCCTAACAGTAACAAATGTTGCTCTCTATTTGTTTGAAGTTATTTCGAGAACTTGGGTTTAAATGACTTTATAAGGGCAAATAACATGAACAGACAATGGAAATACAATGTACTCGGAGATGTTTGAATATTTAATTATGTAGAGTGCATACTTCCTTGCAGCCGGTTCCTGTTCTTGTGATCACGTGATGTAGAGATTTTTAGATAACTCTCCCTGCAAACATCGTAACAATAGCTAAAGATGAGGAGATAATTTCTATATTTGCTAACATGTCATATATATTTGATATACTTATGATTTATTGCCCTCAATGGCAAACTAGAATCAACCCGTAATTAATTAGTTTACTTCAAATAGCTGATGTACACACATCATCTATTCAAATAGTTTCATATAAATTTTCCTTTGTTCACCTTTTTATCTTTGCTGGTTTTAAAGTGATGTGCAGCATCCATAAGTTCAACTCAAATCATTGTGTCTCTGTCTCTGTGTCAAGAACCCAGCCATTCATAAACAATATGAAAATCAGAAATATAAATGTAAGAATTAATAATGTTTCTGCTTACTTTAGTTAATTTTCTTTTTCTCAAAACAGATACACTGTACACTTTATTGATTTTTTTATTTGTTTGGGTCGTCTGACCAAACAAATAATGGTAGCGAAATTTCAGACCCTGATGTTCTTATTTGCAAATACCGAAAGTAGTCGAAACTCCGCGAAGCGGTTACTTCCCTTCATATGTACACTGACGCCGAAAAATTAAGGGGAGATCACTGCGTAAAGATTGTCAAATGACAGGCGCATTGATTTTCGTAATGAAAAAATAGTTCCCGGTTGGTCGAAGATTTCTAATATTGTGTTATTCTTATAGATATACATGCTTATATTCAGCTCCATGATTATTTACTTCAGTGTTAAACAACAGGTTTACCGTGAACAAAATATATCGAAATTAAAAAGTGTTACAAACTCTAATTTAAAATAATATGGTATTCTTCAGGCTGTTATCTTATAACTCCCCATGATCGCTCGCTTTGGAAGCGAGAGGTCTGGAGTTCAAATCAAAGTTCAGGTAACTCATTTTTTAAGCCAAATAAACATTGAATTGAATATCAGTGCAGTGTTGTAATTAGTCTTATAGCCAATTTACTATAGTTATAACACTGGAAACAGCATTGTTGACACTATACAAACAAACTGGTTTATAATCTCACAACCTTCAATTTTCTGACATTCTGAGACCCAAACAAATTTAGCGCCTTCTGTGCTTTGATTTACTTACTTCATTTCAGTTTCCTACTTTATAGTGAAAAATAACCTCTTTACTCTCATCTCTCTCTATTTTATTTCATTTTAAGCTAAGGTAAAACGTGTAAGGTAGTCAGATATCATATTGTTACAATCATTAAACTATTTCTTACAAAGTTTTCTTGCATATATTTCATAGTAAGAAATTCCACAATGGAAGCAGAAACACCTGGTTAGCTTCACCCATAGACACAATCAATCAAAGTTTCTTTGCCAAATAAATGACATTTTTATGACAAGCTAATTACATGTTCATGCACACATTTTTTTCCACTAACGAAACTGCAGACAGAACCGTTTAGTTAATTTGTAATATTGTTATAAACATGCCATGCAAATATGCAGTAATGCAGTTTACAATACAAACATACAAGAAATGCTAGGGTGTTTGGCAAGTGTCTGTCATGTTAGATTAGCCAATCTCAGAATCGTTTAAAGATGGAATAAGTTTAATAAATAGTTTATTAATTATAATGAAATAAAAATGTGCGTTTATGATACACTTTTTTCTACGTAACACCATTTTTATATTAAAGTATTGAAATTTGCCCATGCCGATGCTAGGGGGGGGGGGGTATTAAATATAGCTTGCTTTTACCACTGTCTCCAAGGGTCTCCAAGGAACAGGCTTTATCAATCAAAGCCATCATTTCAAATATTAACGTGTTTATCAAGAAACCACTTACAGCGTCATTCACCTTGAAGCGAGAAAAGAGGTGAGGCACCATTGTTGGAATAAGTTTTTGGCATATTGATGGGGCAACATAAGAGGGTTAGACTCGTGTTAGTACTCACCAACAATTGTATACATGTATGTTTAAATATATTCAAGAGTCAGTTAAGCAGTCGTGGTAACCTTTAGTATGTCGCAGGTATTTGAACCCACCTACAATTATTGTTGATTGTGATAAAAGTCAATCAAGGTGCAACTCAACCCTTATTGTGTATTAAACAACGTTTAAAAACTAGCCCAAACATCTGATTTTTCTCAATGCATGGACAAATATTTGAAGGCATTATTTCGTGTACAACAACAACAATTTGTGTAAAAAACACAGAAAAGTTGTAAATATTCTCAATTATTAATTTTTTGATTTTTGTAACATTTTTGTAGGGCATTGTCCATTCAACTTATCATGAAATAGATACAAGAAATAAAAAGTAAAACAGTGTAATGAATTACTTACAAGTTAATCGCTTTTAAGGACATTCTTATTAATAATTGATATTCTTATTATTATTTGCAAAACCATATTTTATTATATTTTTTTCAATAATGAGCTTACATTACTTGAAATTTCTTTTGGAAAATAAAATAATGCATAAAATAATGATAATAATAAAAACGAGCGGATAGATAAAAAATAAACAAATAAACAAAAATAAAATGACATAAAATAGAAATAAGACAAGCAAACAAACCGCTCATATAACACCCACTGCACAAAAAGAGAAAATTTCAATGGTCGACTTCTTCGTTTATTTTTGTGTTTCTTTGTCGTTTGCGATTACACTTTTTATTGAAAATAGCAATGCATTGTACAAAAATTGTTAATAAAAAAAAACATCAAATACGAAAAAAATACAAAAAGAGATCTTTGATGTCAAACACGCAAAACTGTTATCAATGTCTGATTTGTCTTTCTTGTTTTGATAAAGAATAACCGCTCTAGATTTATCACGACTAGAAAATTGAATTTACGTGGGTTAAAAGTCACGTGATGATAAATGCATCTCTTTTTTAGACCAAACGATCTCTCTGCTTTAAATTGCTACAAGCTAGTGTTCTTGTGTGTTCAATGTTAAGTAAGCCTTGTACATGTTTATGTGTAGAAACGACGGTTTAATACGACTTCTAACTCTATAAGTTTTACACTGAGTTTTACTTTTAATATTTTAGCGTTTTACCGGAAACACCTAGTGAGACTGGAACACACTTATGTACCCTTTGGTCAAATCAGATATCTGCCATATTATTGGTACTTCATTTTTTTGACAATTTCATGTCTCGATAGAAATTATTCTATGAGATGAATATGTGATTACGGCATGATTATTACTTTAAATTTATATGCTGAATTTTGCGCTTCATCCCACAATCTTTTATTTATATATAACTCTGTTTTATGTTGTTGCTAATTATTTATTGGATACAGTAAAGCAAGCAAGGCATCTTGCTGTGTATTACCATTTTAATCATATCTTAAAAACACAAAATGCAGCCATTACAAGAAGTTCATTAAAATGCACCAAAATAATGTGTTTGGGAACAAACCAACAAGTATAACAATATCCGCTCTAAATAACGCTCTGCTTTTAGATCTGACCGTGATCAAATACAAAATCATTTACAGCCTATCACCGGCGAGCTTTCATAATTTTGTTTCTAATTTTACTCCTGGCAAAACAAATACTGAGTAAATAATTTTCACGATTTCGAGAACAAATATTGCGTTGTCTATATAGCCGACAGGTAAATTGGCAAAACTATCTTGCCTTTTAAAAATTGACTCTTATTATTTCAAGTTAATTTGTAAAAATATTACTTCAAACATGCTTTTTTTCTAACAAAAATCAACAATTTGTTTAGCTTCCACTGATAACGGTATTTTCATACTTCTTCTAATGCTGATGATTGCATGGCTAATATAGCTTTCTCGGGAAATCCGTATTATACAGAAGGCGAAACATATACGATCGTCATCAGATCTACATAACAGAAATAAGTAGATCAGATTGAGACAAGTTTTTTATTTTCCGTCAAAGTCTTACACCTGATATATTATATTCTTCTTCAGAATAACCTACATATCATTTAGAGAATGATTCTTAAAATGTACCACCAGCTGTTTCTTTTTCCAACTGGATAAAAAAATATACAAGACAAGTTAATAGTTTGT